ATACAAAATAATGCAAATGAAAAATAAAATGAAAGGCGGCAGAAGGAAGAAAAATCTTATCTGTGCCTTTTTACATCAAAAGAAATTCAAACAACATGAAAAAAGAAAAAAATTAATAAAAACTAAAATCGTTCTCAGACATTTTTTAAGGAAACATATGTCATTTCATATTTCTTCAACAGACTGGATTTTACCATTACCYTTTTCATTTGCTACTTGCTTTTAGTTACCATCAGCTAATTTTAGTTTTCACTATTTTAGCTAACTTTTAACCTCTGATTCACATCTTTCAGTCACCCGTTTGTTTCTTTTTTTATCTTATTAGAAGCAATAAAACTTTCGAGTTGATTAAACTGCTGGTTAGAGAGGAGATCTAAGAATTAACTGGTTGGTTTCAGTTCTTCATCAGTGGTTTGATGGGTTTGATTCTCACCAGCCTCTCCTTCAAAACATCCCATTTATTCACYTAATTCACTGAAGAAATGCAAAACAAACTAAATATTAATCTGTGTTCAACATGTCACATTTGATGTGGGTAGAGTTTATATGAGCAGAACCTTCAGGGGAAATGGTAGAAGTTAAATTAAAGCCTTTGGTTGGAAATAGAATCTATTGGTTTTAATGAAGAGACGGTGGAAGATGGTTTTACAGATCCTGATTGGTCCATTATTCTGTGTTAGCTTTCAGCTCCTTTGCCCTCTTGTTTCCTGTCTCTCCTGCACCTCCCTTCCCCTTCTATCAAGGTCATAAATACAGTCAGTCTGTCGTAGCTTCCTTCTCGTCTCGGGGTTCTTGCTGTCTGATCACAAACATGACCACTGTGTCGCAGTGTCTCTTTGACAGGCAATTTTACTGGCGAGATTAGGCCTTTGATGTTGTTCTGTGATCGCTCTGTGTTCCTGCCAGCAGCCGATTCTGTCACATGCCGAGTATTTCTGAAGGTTTTATCATCTGGTTTCTTATTTTAGGCAAAATTTAGCAGAGATCATCACTGGATTGTGGTGGCTAAATCTGCACTGCTATTGCAAAAAGAACAAAAGAAAACATCAAGACGAAGCAAATATGTAGCAGAGATGACTCCCAGCGTCCACCACACCTAATTTTAGTTCAGTTTCTCTTAAAAATGACTGAATTGTAGCTGTTTTAGGGTTTATAATGTTTGTTTAGCTGTGGTGTTTTCAATCAGATTGACTCTAAAAGGTAAAGATGAACTTTTAATGCTTAAAACAACTGACCACTAACGAACAATAACTGAGCTCTTTGTTGTATTTCCTGCATAGAAACAGTGTTTTAACATAATGTCCTTATAAACAGTGAAAAGTACTAATCGACAGGCGTTATGGGAGATGTAGTTTATGGTCAATACTTTAGTCTCACGGTTCTATATTTTTTTCGATACAAAAAAGAAAAATGCCCATGCCCTTCTTAAATTGTAATTTATTTAAATTAAGTACAAACATTTGTTTAACCTCAAAAGTACAGTTTTTTAAMTAAATGTTGCTGAAACAGCAGGTTTCTCAGTGGATCTGCACTCAGCAATGCAGCCTAGGTGGAGTAGTCGACACAGATCCACTGATCCTTCAACACAGAGCATCTTCAGAAGACAAGTTGGAAAAATAAATTTTAAAAATCTGTATTGTTCGATACAAGTGTGTATTGAACCAAAAGCACTGTTCGATATGAGTACATATATTGTTGCACCCCTAATATGTATGTATATATAAACA